TAGAAAAAAAGAGTCAGAGAAACACACAGTAAGCGACAGAACTAAAGAGCTAAACAGAGGGTAAGCGATTTCAAAGGGCCTACAAGCATGGAAGAGGGACCGTGAGAGGGACAACTTTGCCGTCAAAAAAGTGTGATTTGGATTTCTCAGTGCTTCAGCAGAGAAAGTTATCCTACTGGTAACATTTAGGAGCTGTCTTCAAATGATCCATTTGTCAATTGACAGTCGACAGAATTGGAAGAGATACATTTTGATTTGGGCTGTGTGGAAATGCAGCATAAGTGGCGTGCACTTTGAATGTTTTCTGTTTAAAAGGAAATGGCATTTCACATGAAGACATTAAGCCATTGATTTAATGTTGCACTGTAAACATCTCACAAGCATATTAAAAAGTAAGATGCCTCACAAAGAAACATTTGAGTTGTATTTATTGCACTTGAACCACTCTCCAATCCCACAAGACAGTTTTACATGAGATCATTTCTTGCAGAATGGTTTTGGAGCACAGTCACCTTCATTTAAAACCCGCATTTAATGGAGAATCTTGGCTTTCACAATATAGTGTCTCACTTATAATTCTTACCACGGCACCCTCTGGCATGCCATCACTTTCAGATCAAACATTCCTGAGAGAATGTAGTCATCTTATCCTTCCAAGATATGATAAAGGGATGTCTGTTTTTTGAGGAGAACAGAGGAGCACATCTCTTTGATGGACCAAAGCACCAGTCATAAAGCTTATCACACACACACACACACACACACACACACACGCACACACACACACACACACACACACACACACACACACACACACACACACACACGCACACGCACACGCACACGCACACGCACACGCACACGCACACGCACACACATACACATACACATACACACACGCACACGCACACAGACACAGGCCGGCACTCTTGCTGGGCCTTGAGCGTAGCACATTGATGTCTAAGGCTTCTCTCTCCCGACTGACTCCAAGGTTATTGCAGTGCACCATGGAAGCACAGGATATTTGACGGTCCCCTGCCAAATAAAGTGCTGGGGGGGCCGGGGGGGTGGGGGGTGAGGGAGAGTTGCCATTGACAACTCAGAGGTCTCCAAAGTGACCATCAGAAAATGAAAAAAGAGAGAACTTATTAAGAGAGAAGGGTCCAGGGGAGGCCGTGGGGCTAAATCTGTCACAGCTTTTCATGAGAGGGACTAGGCCAGTTCATGACTTCATCAACTGCAGCTTGTTCATGACTTCCACAGTTGACCTAATGAAGAATAGAGAGTCTGTTGAGAAGAGCCAGGAGTTAGGGTGTAATCTGAAAGAGAAGAAAAAAACCACAAAATGAGCTTTCCCAATAGAGAAAGAATCATAGAGTGCAGGACAATGGGAAATATATTGAATTCGTCGTGGGCGAGTTTGAGCTTTGCTGACTCGAGGAGTCCCCAGGTTACAGTACACTCTGCGTCAAACCTTCTGCACAGATGAGAAATAAACACAAAGAAGAGAACAGAGTGAGGGGCAGGCAGAAAGAGATGAGTAGGAGGCAGAGCTGGCAAGGGTTTGAAGGGCAGCGTCAGGAGAGAGATGCAGGAACTACATTCCTACGGTTTGTGTGTGCCAAATGTTTAATGGAGTAGGGGGGGGGGGGGTTAGTGTCAGACAAAAACCCTCCGTGTTATTCTTTTATCACACTTACCCGATGAACATGTGTGTGCATTTGTGTCAGGAAGCGGGAGGAGGGAGCGTGGTACAGTTGAACACGATCAAAACCGCACATGTTTTTTGTTTCCTACATGTGTTTTCTTTCCCAATTATGCTCCAACCAAAAAAAACACATCCTTCTCATGGTCGATGATGGAGAGCAAAGAGGTGGGGGGTAGTTTCTTTCTCTAAAATTGGGCCCCATGCTCTTTATGTTTGGCATTGTTTGTGTGCATTTCCTCTTATAGCTTGGGCAGGCCTTGCGTAGAGGGCAGGAAAAAAGACAGCGGCCGGCAGCCTTTGATGTCCATGTTTTATGGTCCCATGTCAACGCATTGTCTGTTAAGTCCTTGTGTTGTCCTTCCTCCTAATTAAGACCTCAGAGCGACTTGTTGACTCCACAAAGACCCCTGTTCGGGGAGGGGGGTGAGCGTTTTGTGTGTCAATGGTGTGTGTGTGGGTGTGTCTTCTATGATTGGGCTGTAGTTTGAAAGAGATTTTCATAACCGCCAACATACAAAAGCATAGACTTTGACATAAGAAAGGAGTCAGTTTCTGTTTGAGGACTGTTTGAGGAAGAACTCATCTTTAGCAGCATTTACGCTCAAAGTAACACACACGCGAAATATCAGTTGCATTCTGAAACTACATCTTTGCATGCATGCCTACAGGACACACTCGTTAGGCAAGTGTGTAGAAGAAATCCAATCCTTACAATCTTGTTTAATTTCATTTTGATCTCTGTCTCTCTGCAAGCAAGAATCTGGTGACGTCAGTTGCTGTTAATCCACTCCTCTCAGCAGATACACATCCCGCAGTTTACCAGCTTAACTTTGATGTCTCTGATACCAACAGATGGCTGAAAGGTCACCTGTCTCTCATTCGGTTCATGAAATAGAAGACATATAGAGAAATGGGCATACAATAAAACAGGAGAAAGTTATGCTCACTCAGCAGATGGGAGCTGTTTTGACTTCATCTTAGTAAATGCTCCGAAGTATTTCTCATTCTTTGTTGAGTCTGTAGAAAAGTATGGAAGTGCTCTTCAACAATTCATTGAATGGCAACATTACAAAGAATGGATGTGACCTCTGATAGCACAATGAATATAAATGTAATGTCTAAATGTATCAAGATAATGTTAATACTATTCTATCACGGCTATGAAGTTCTGAAACTGATGATGTTATTGCAATTATCCAGGTGGCAAGGTATTGTTGTTTTCGGCCAGGACGACAGTGGGGCAAACGTCAATGAGGCTCATTTGCATAGAAAGGGGAACGTTTTGCTGCAAATATATGCTTATTATCTCATTTGAATATGTGCCAATAATACAGGAACAAAGGGGCGCTATTTGCTCGGCAGCGCAGTTAGGGGTGTACTTCACCCTTTGCGGCTTCTTTGAGAATGACACGGTCTCTTGTTGTCTTACTTGTGCCGGTTTAGCGGCTGCAAAAGTAATTCAATCCTTTTGTGATTTTGCCACAGAGACTCTTACATAGTGCACTTGTGCCTGGCAGTATTGAAGGGTGTGGTGAACTCTGATGTTGTCGACCACACCCCCCTTTCTGCACTTGCACTGATTCAGGCGCCTCTGACCTTTTGACCCCTGAAACTAACTTTGATTAGATCTCAACTCAACATCACACTTGGAAAGCTTTTTTCCCAGACACCATGAGTTGGGTTAAGAGCATCCATGCATTGTTACCCTAATGATAAACAGAATCAGTTTCAACTGAAATTATGGGATGGAAATAGTGTTTTTATTCTTATTTTACACACCGTAAGTCAGAGCTTCTTAGCTTTGGGGCGGGAACAAAACATCTGGTCGTATGAGGTGCAGAATTTGTCAAAATCATGTATTGGTATGTAACAAATACTTAATTGTTTTTATGTAGGTATTTATTCATGGTCAAATCAATACCAGGGTGTTTTTAATGTATGATGCTAGAATCCACTTCAAGACACTGGTACTTGCTTACCATGCTGCGAATGGATCTGGCCCTTCCTACATCCAGGACATGGTTAAACCGTACACCCCAGCGCGTGCACTACGCTCTGCATCAGCCAAACGACTCGCTGCGCCCTCGTTGCGAGGGGGACCCAAGTTCCCATCGGCGAAAACACGTGGGTTTGCTATCCTGGCTCCAAGATGGTGGAATGAGCTCCCCATTGACATCAGGACAGCAGATAGCTTGCACATCTTCCGGCGCAAACTGAAAACTCATCTCTTTCGACTCCACTTCGAGCGATAGATTTATTAACAAAGCACTTATATACTAATAAAGGACTGGATTACCTAAAGCCAGTTGAGTAGCACTTGAAATGTTTGGCTCTATGAAACCTGATATACTTATATGATTCTGTTTTCTTCAAGGTTGTGTCTTCCTGGTCGAATGTACTTATTGTAAGTCGCTTTGGATAAAAGCGTCAGCTAAATGCAATGTAATGTAATGTAATGTAATGTAATGTGGTTTTGAACTTCCGGCATTCCCGTGAAATTATGAAACAACAGTACGTCTTTATCAAATTCACAATTACGACAATGTTTTCCATCTGTGCCTGCCTGTATTCTTTAATCACATGGATCACTGAAATCCAGTCACTCAACACATTGCCCTGTTTATGTATTTATTTATAGCACACATCTTACAGACATGCTGCTGTCACACATTTCAAAGACATGGTTTCTGACAAATAAATCCCATGAGCACCAACACACAGCAAACAGAGAGCCTCTTTAACAAAACAAACACAAGTGCATGCTTTACAGTCACTGTGGTATTTCGTGTGTGTTGTTTGCGTCCAGTGGTTTCTGTTTCAGTGTTTAGCTCCATACCAGTGGGTTTTCTCTTTTGTTGACACAGATGTGCAGCTCTGAGCCGAGGGACTTGTGTTTTGGGATTCCTCTTAATGCAAACTGAGTCCTTCTGTTTCACTCTGCAATCATAGTTGTGACAGATAAGGCGAGCGCTCATAGAGAACGGGTTCATCTGTGTCAACACATAGAGTCAGGGGTTACATGTGTATTTTTGTGTACATGAACGATACCTGTTTATGTGTGTGTGCTCTCATTTCCGGGCCATGTGTTTTGCTCTTGCGTTAGTCACACATTGTTTATTGATTATTGAATGCAGCAACATCCACTGAAACTGGGCTTTGAGTTTGCGGCCTTTGTTGTCTTTTTTTTAAACTCCTCTCTCGAAAATAAGCCACTTTTTATAAGAAGGAATTGCCTGTAGATTCATCCATCAGTGTTTCTCTTTGACTAAATCCGTCTCCTTTTTTGTCACAGGTTGTCCCATGCCCAAAGATCAGCTGTAAAAGTCCTCCGCCGAATGCAGTACTTTGTGGCCCGGACGAGATTTCAGGTAAGCAAAATGAAATCCAGAGAACGCAAGAGAAATCTTACAAAGTTGAGAAAACAGAAAAGAAGGAGGAGATAAAGAAAGAGAGACAGATTGAGAGTGAGAGAAGTGTGTTTGTGTGGTTATACAGGATAAGCAGGGGGAGCCCCAAGGGCATATATCAGCTGCAGCACTGATGTGCATGTGTAAGTGGGTGTACGTGTGTGTACGTGTGTGTAGTGTACGTGTGTAAATGCCTGAAACTTGCACCTGCATGTCTTTGTGCTCACTTCAGTTCAGGCGTAGTACCAAGGGAAGTCTGCTAACATGTCTCTGGGGCTACAGTAGGAATTGACTTACTGTACTGCAGTCACATAAACACACACACACACACACACACACACACACACACACACACACACACACACACACACACACACACACACACACACACACACACACACACACACACACACACACACACACACAGCAGGACATTGTCTCCCGCAGTACTAAAAGGAATCAGAATCAAACATTTTGGGCAGTACATTTTTCAGTAAAAACAAAACGATCATTTTTGCGATACTTTACCAATCATTTTCATGCCACATGTCATTGTCAAATGGTTCCTCTATTCTTACCGTTTCCAAGTGTTCTATATGTTTTCAATTAAGGCTAAGTGATTTCAGCTGCAGAGGCTATACTCTGTGTATGCCGAGGATACCCTAAAGAGTTCACTGGGTTCTTTCTGATGCTGCGTGTATCCACGTCACACTAAACAAAGCTGTGAAAGGACCTTAATACGATTGCTTTCTACATGACCATGCACTTGTCAGTGCACGCACCAACACACACACACACATACACACACACATACTCACACACTCACACAATGAGTTAACAATGAACCCTTTGCACCCAAGGGGGTTGGGGGATGTTTTTTGGGGGACCAAGCAACAGCGGTGATGGCTGACAATGGCTTGTGTGTGTGTGTGTGTGTGTGTGTGTGTGTGTGTGTGTGTGTGTGTGTGTGTGTGTGTGTGTGTGTGTGTGTGTGTGTGTGTGTGTGTGTGTGTGTGTGTGTGTGTGTGTGTGTGTGTGTGTGTGTGTGTGTGTGTGTGTGTGTGTGTGTGTGTGTGTGTGTGTGTGTGTGTGTGTGTGTGTGTGTGTGTGTGTGTGTGCGTGCGTGTGTGTGCGTGTGTGTGTATGCATTGATCCACAGCAAGCGCGGAAGCCCTATGATGTGCGAGACGTGATGGAGCAGTATTCCCAGGGTCACCTCAACATGATGGTCCGCATCAAGGAGCTGCAGAGAAGGTGGAGTCTTTGACCTTGTTTCATTTATTTCTCTCCCACCTTCACTCTTTAACTTAGTGTCAGTTGATTTGAACCTTTTATTTTACACCTTTATAAAAGGATACCACCTTTTAGTGAAGAAAACATAATGTATAATCCCGTTTTGCAAAAAAATAAAATGTCTTGATAAGGCCTTGGTAATTCCATCTCAAGAATGGCACACAATAGCTGTGAAGTGTATTTGTACCATGAGCATTAGAGCTTGTGTTTGTCCTGCCTTTAACCAGGCTGTACTGACATCATGGTCAGCTGAACTGGGTCATAAGCACAACAGGAAGAGAAGATAGCACCGTTGCAAATTCCTCCATTAAGCATCCAGTAATTGCAGTTCCGTTTGTTACTGTCCTTACGGCTCATCTGACAGACAGGGGAGGGCCTGACTGCTCTCTGACTTGTTACACCTTGTTGAGCTTGAATGAAGTCCAGTCCTCACTAAAGTGGGTCCTACTTGTGTAAATACGTCACCTGAACCCTGTAACGGCCCGTCCACACAGCGGCGTGCGTTGAAGCTTGCCCGCGGCCGTGTCTGAAACTCGACCAACAACCAATCACATGAATCTCCCACCCCCGACACACAAGCAGCGGTTTGATTCGCTAGAGCTTGTACTGGCATATGATTCGATTGGCTGACGCTTCTGCAGAGGCTTCAAAAAGTTGAACATTGCTCAACTTTTGCAGCGAGCCACGCCAGCAAAGCTCCGCGTCGCTTCCCACAATGCAGTGCGGTGAAAAGTGACGTCACCCCATTCAAAGTGAATGGTGAAGCTTTCAACACACGCCGCTGTGCGAACGGGCCGTAACACCTTTGGCAGTAAATCAGCTCAAGTATGGAAATGCACCGTGACGTTTCGTAACCTGCAGGCAATAAAATACTGATTCTTTGATTATTTAATACAATTTATAAGTGACTGCAGTAATGTAAGTCTTCCATACAAAGTAAAAAGAGCCAAATATAAGCTGCTGATAAACTGCAATAAAAGGTTTTAACCCTAAAAATACGGGAATTCAACAGAACATCCATAGAAAAAGGTCACGTGACTTATTGACTGACTCCTGCTAAACACCAAAATGATGCAATGACCACTTAAAATGGTTAATAAACGACATTGATAGCTGTAGTAAAAAGCCATGCTTTGCAGTGCATATTGAAATTATATAGTAAATGTAAACATTTCTTATAGTCCATATTATCTTTTGCAAGTCTCATTCTTTTATTTTTACAGATTTTCAATAGGGACACATTTATTTATAGCATCTCTTAAAACTGTTTTGTTTTCAAACGGTGATAACTAAAGTATTGTTTAAACTTTGGCACTATAAATTGGCTTATATTATGTTACTGTTGTGTTCATGAGCTGGAACATTTTCTCTGTATCTGGCCATTGGCTTTACCTTTCTCAGTTCATTTCTTCTGTCTGTTTCCTCAGGCTGGACGGCACACTGGGGAAGCCAGGAATGTTTCTTCCAGGTAAACACACAGCATCTGATAGACAGCCATCACTCCTCGCTCCATCTCTGTGTTTACACCTTGCACATACACAAGCTGAGCCAGACTAAATATGAGAGGAAAAGAGTGGTCTGTAATGTGCAAATATCTCTGTTTGGATGTGGCTATGTTTACATCTGTGTCTTCATATTTATGAATGTAATCACCCTGCCTGTTTCAACATGCATGTAGGCATGTTCTAGCGGGCTTATGGATGATGGTACAGTATGTCTATGTGGGTGTACGTATGCATGTCCTTCAGTGTGTGTGCATTGGTTTTGAATTTATAGTGAAAGTTAGTAATCAAAGATTTGATAATTTACTATAATTTAATGATGTAGGTGTCATCAACTCTCCTAACCTTTTTTAAATAATATTAAAATTAAAGCATCATATTTTCAAGTGACATTTGATAGTTTTTGTGTTGTTCACTTTTACTTAACAGTTATAGTCATTTACTATCCGAGTTAAACATATAGTTTACTAAGTATTCATTATTTATAGAGAAATTACATCAACATGTATAATGTGCACTGCAACTGACTGTATCATGATCAGTAAAAAGGACATTTTGCATGATATGGACATTACTTACATGTAAAGCTGTTTTTGCTCATTGATGGTTTCTTCTGCCTGGCTTTTGAAAACCTAAACAAATACTGTTTGTTTAATGCAGTTCCCAAAATATAGTGGAAGTTTAGCCAACCTAAACTTACCATAAGAATCACTACATTGTGTCGTCATGACCACATAACGCTTAGTTGACATGCATCCACTGTTAACATTACAGTAGGGGGCTGTAAATGTGCCACTGTGACCTGTACTCACAGATCAGCAGAAACTGAATGAACTGGTTATTTCACTTTGAATCGTGAGTCTATAAGGCTCTTACTGTTAATGACAGTGGTGTGTTTGTAACGCATGTAAGCATGTAGTAATTGAGTGTGACTAAATGTACTTTTCTGCTTCTTTCTTTGCAAATAATACCAATTTTGCAATCAAGGCCAATGCATTAAATTAGCATTTGTGTGTAAACGTGTTTTTTTTTATTCATTCACTAGGAAAAGGAGAAGATAAAGAATACCCAACTATTGGGGCGCGACTGATCAGGCTGGAAGATAAGGTAGGCACACTCCTGCTGCTCACTGTGTGTTTTGGCTGTGAGGTAAGAGAGATATGATTATTAGATTACCTTTAGCCTTCATAGGCAGAAGTGTGTGTGTGTGTGTGTGTGTGTGTGTGTGTGTGTGTGTGTGTGTGTGTGTGTGTGTGTGTGTGTGTGTGTGTGTGTGTGTGTGTTGTGTGTGTGTGTGTGTGTGTGTGTGTGTGTGTGTGTGTGTGTGTGTGTGTGTGTGTGTGTGTGTGTGTGTGTGTGTGTGTGACTGACTGCAGAACTGTGTGAATAAGTCTCTTTTATCAGATGAATGCATGTGTGGAAAACTTTTGATATGACCTTGTTTTGGCTTGGCTCTGTCAGCCTGAGCCAATGCCAAACAAACACATGCGTTCTCTACTCTCCAACCCATCAGCAGCTATTCAGTGCTGCATTTAAGCTGAAGTTACATTATTTTTCATTCAGTTTTTTTTTTTTTTGTGGGCTGGGTTATTTTGATGGTTTTCCATGCCAGCTCTTCCTGTTTCCTGTAATCCTAGGTACGTCGGTTGGTGACAATTATTGGATGTTTATGTTTCCATATCTGAATATTAGAGCATTGGAAGAATTAGGGAGCTAAGAGAAAAGAGGCAAAGCCGAAAAACAACAGCTGTGTTATGAAACCCACGGGTGTAACTAGGTGTGTCTTCTGTCAGGAACAGGCCCAATGTGATGCCAGCATGATGCCAGTGTGATGCCAAGATAACCTCTTCCCCAGTGGGGATGGTTGTACCAGTTGGACTGGTCTTCGGATGTGACTGCATTTATGTCTCTTCAAATCAAATCAAATCAAGTTTTATTTATATAGCACATTTATAAACGATTTTTGGTCGAGCCAAAGTGCTGTACATATAATAAAAATAGCCTACAATAGAGACACTTTACAGCAAATACAACAGCACAGATTGTTCAGAATATCAGTATGAGAAAAACAACCTACCTTAGACCCTCACATCGTACAAGGAAAAACTTCCAGAGAAAACCCACAGTTTAAAGGGAACATGGGAGAAACCTCAGGGAGAGCAACAGAGAAGGGATCCCTCTCCCAGGACGGACAGACGTGCAATAGATGCCGTGTGTAAATCGAAGAGATAATACATTTTACAGCATATAGACTGAATGTTAGGAAATGCATGTGTCTGTAATAAGAAGATGAATCCACGAGGATGTCAGCTTATTCTTATTCTTTCCATGTGGAAATCACAGAATATAAAACGTGTGTTGGTTTTAGTGTGTGGCTACATCTGCTGTTTGTTTGTCTGGCTGGCGGCATCTCTATAAAGTGAAATCGTTTTTGGGGATTTGGAAAGGTGTGGAAATGTGTTTTCGTGTTGAAGCTTGTTTTTCTATGGTGTTGAAAATCAAACCTTATAGTTAAGTTGTTCTCACAACTCGCAGTAAATGAAAACAACTCCTATACAATAGAACAATGCATTCTGCAGCCACTTATTTTCTATTCATGTCAGCCGGCTCAGGATTTCCCCCACTTTTCCTTTGCCACACCACCTCTGCTGCGCTCATCAAGCTGATGTTCTTTAATGTTTGCATGCGTTTGCTGTTTTCAGACCTCTTTGTTACGCAGAGAGGAGTAATGATCTTGAACCAATGTGCTCTCGGAGCTTGAAGACCTCCCTCTGTGAATGAGTTATGCCCCATTTGCTCTGGGCTACACGTTTTGATCGCAATCTCCTGATTGGAAACATAAACCTGCGGTCAGATATTCCTCTTCTACCTTTGACTCTCTTGCTCTCTTTTTTTCTCTTTTAGTCTTTCCCTCTTTCACTTCTCTCTCCTAACTCTGCCTTGACATAAAATACAATCGAGAGGTGGATAATTGAGAAACAAATCGGTGGAACCATACTGATGCAGCCTTTTTCCCCCCTAAACAATGTGGAACTAATCACTGTTCCTGTATATGCATGCATTTCTGCAACAAGCGCCTCTCAAAGTGAAACAGAACAGTAACTTGTGACACCCATCCTTCATAATTACTGTTTTTCCCGCCTCAGCACACGCCCCCTTCCCCTCTCTGATTTCAGGCCGTGTGAATTTCTTGTTTTGATGGTTTTGACGGGCTGGCACACCTGTTAAAATGGGAAATGGGGGGGGGGGTTTCCCCTCAGGCAGCAGGTGGATGAACCCATCGACCTCTTACTTGGTACATTCCCTGCTCCTCCTCCTGATACGCCTGCACCATAACGCTCCAGATATTATTGTTCACTCTAGATAAACTAAACATAGACATAACACACAGATGTATGTCTGTGGGAAGTGGTGATTTCATATTTACACTACAGAATTGTATTTGTGCTCTTAGCCCTCTCAAATCATTACATTGTTAAATCATTTCTTGACACCTTACCAAATGTATTCATCACACTTGAAACAACGTTTCCACATACAGTGTGTGTTGCAGCAACAACACAATGCCCCGTCCAAACATAACGCTCAATCTAAATGAACGTTTACAGTAGATGTTTAATGAGATAAAACCAACAATCAATCAAATCAAGTTTTATTTATATAGCACATTTATAAACGATTTTTGGTCGAGCCAAAGTGCTGTACATAAAATAAAATTAGCCTACAGTAGAGACACTTTACAGCTAATACAATAACACAGATTGTTCAGAATATCAGTATGAGAAAAACAACACCCTCTATCCTTGGACCCTCACATCGCACAAGGAAAAACATCCAGAGAAAACCCACAGTTTAAAGGGAACATGGGAGAAACCTCAGGGAGAGCAACAGAGGAGGGATCCCTCTCCCAGGACGGACAGACGTGCAATAGATGCCGTGTGTAAATTGAAGAGATAATACATTTTACAGCATATAGACTGAATGTTAGGAAATGCATGTGTCTGTAATAAGAAGGTGAATCCACGAGGATGTCAGCTACAATCCTGTGGGAGCCATCAGGGAAGCAGCATGGCGAGACCCAAGGCAGGACCGCAGAGACAGGTTCAGCCACGACCCGAAGTCCACGACTTAATCCAGAACTCAGGATAGAGGATCCAAGACACAGGACTACAGCAAGAGGATCAGCCTCGACTCCGGTTCCCGGCGTAGATATAGATACAAAACAAGAAAAAAGATTTGGCTGGGTTAATCGGAACAAGAGAATACACAGACACAGACAGAGAGGGGAAAGGTCATTGGATAAAAGTTATTCTTGATAACCCTCTAGAAAGATCTCATGAACTTCCCCACTCAACCTATCAAGACCCGAGCAGTTCTATTAGATATAGGATAAGAAACAGAGATAGGGAGCACAACAACCTATAAAGTGTGTTGTTACTGTGTTCAGTTGTGAATTACAAACACTTTTGTTTGTCCCGCATCGCTGCTCGCATTTCATAACGTTGTGCAGTTCCTGCGTTGCGTCACCTCTCGCATGTTGCTCGTAATAGTAAAGCTAATCAAACACGAAGAAAAACCCTGGTGTCACAGTTGAATCGGCTCCGTAAAGGATCTTTCCCAACAGCCCTGAAGAATTATTCATCAACTCTGTGCCCTAATGTGTGTGTGTGTGTGGGTGGGTTTGTGTGCGTTTCCATGCCTTTCTCAATACTCACTCTTGGTTAGCGTCCAGCCTCATTTCTTTTTTGACAAATTCCCACTTTCTTTTCCCCTTTCCTCTGCGAGACATCTTCCACTCTGACTGTGCTTTATGCTGCAGCTGAGAAAGTAACATAGAATCATTTTCTTGTTGAGCTATTGTCAGCACATCACTTGTAGATTAATTTATCTTTAGTGGGCTGAAGGGGGCTCGGGCATTGTGTGTCCTGTACAGAGATGGACAGTGATTTATCACTCAAAGACAAAGACACATCTAGGTCTACACTCACACACATGAGCATAGAGTCGATTAATCACCAACGTGTCTAACCCCACACTCGAAATTGAATTCTCCAGGAGCGACGTGGAAACGAAGATGGATGGCAGTCTGTGACAGTGTGTTATCTTTCTGTCAGACACACTCGATGAAAAATACTCAAACGACAAGCTGAAACAGGGGCCAGTGTCTCTGGGATTCAGTGTGGCCTTTCAGACCGGAGCTCGCTGCGTGCTTTAGGGTGAAGTCAGCCCAATGTTTGTTGTAAATCTCCCTCTTTTACAAGGAAAGGGTTTTCCAGAGACAGAAAGACGGAAAGGTCAGGGAAATTACGACGATTTGCTTTCACATAGTCTGCAAATAAGTGTCTGAAGAACAGTTTCTTAGACCGACCCCTTTTTGTTCTAGAGATTTAACAGTGTGAAGTATTATGGAGCCAGAAGACAGGGACTTTTATTATGTCAGAATGTCACGTTTTTTTTTTCTTCAAGTTTGCAAGATTTTCCAAAGGTCATATGAAATGTTAGTCAACACCAAATGTATAAATGTTGTATGTCTGCTGAAAATAAATAATTTGACAATTGACGATACATTTAAAAATACTGAACAACTTACTGCAAAATAGGTTTTTGAAAGAGAACATATTATGTTGTTCTTTAGGAAGAGTTTTGATTATACCTTATTTCAATACATGTATGTGATTTATTAAAAATGTAAAAGCTGAATTTAATTTAACTTAAAATGAATGAGGGTGATTTCTAATTCACCCTCATTCATTTATTTAATAGCTAATGTCTAAATTCTGATTGTTGCCATTTCTAATAAAATATACAAATACTATATTAAAAAAAATCTGCTGTGCCATAATGAGTTGGCTCTTTAAAAGCTTGAAGAAGATTCACGTCAGTCAGTGTCTGAAAAACAACTGATGTTTCAGCAGCAAGGGGGCAATTACTCGCTATGAGTATCGCATTCAGTAATTATGCCGTCATCATTTAGTCATCCAAATGGTATTCAGATATATTTGGAAACTAGGTCTTTGATGGATGTAAAACCGTCAGCAGTGTCTAGTGGGGGGGGGCTGCAGACCTTCACAGACATGTCTCCGCTCAACACATCATTATTTGCGTTGCTCTAAGTACACTACATGGACCATTCATCACACTCACTCTGTGGTTAACTTCACTCCGCTATATTAGGGCAAATACACTGCGCCATGCATGACACGCTTATATCTTGTGCATTAGCACTAGGCGTACGCAGAAGAATGCGTGCCCCGACCATAATAGCATCTCAATTAGGTAAGTATGCTGTAAATTACAGCAAGGCCAAATACTGGAAATACTTGAGGGCCGGGACAGAGTGTTGTGTTTGTTAGGAGTCCATCTGTAAGGCATTTAGGGCCCCTCGTCTTTAAAAGCATGGCTTTGAGGGGGGCAGCAGTGTGTGTGCGTGACTGTGTGTGTATGTTTAGACTGGTCCGATCCAGACCCAGTGGAGGGCTTTAGAGATGAGGGCCTGGTAAACACACACACGCTCATATATATACATATTTATACATTAGACCATATACAAAAATACAAGTGAATATACAGGCAGACATAAATATACAAATGCAGTCACACACACACACACACACACACACACACACACACACACACACACACACACACACACACACACACACACACACACACACACACACACACACACACACACACACACACACACTGTTGTCCATCTAGCAGTTTTATGCCAGGCAAACAGGAAGAGCTTAATTTCTCTTCAGCTGGTGTGGGAGGGTTCTGAGACTTAACGGCTGGACGATCAGCTTTACACGCATTAAATCGATTAATAATTATGCATCAATAAATATTGGATCAAATCTTGTTTTCCTTTATTTTCGGTATTGGCACCCAGAACAAGTTACAGCCCACATCAATAGCAGCTATTACTGTAATCCCTCTTTAGTGCCTGGGATACTCACTGTGGCTGTAGTAATTGTCTCTACAAAACTCTTACATTTTACGATCACAACAGAATTAATGCACAGGAATCAAAGACCAGAGGAAATATGTATTCTTAACTAAAACCAAGTAATATAGTAATAAACTGAACAGCTAGATACAGACCAGTGAGACCACATACAGAGTTGTAAACGTTTTTTAAAGATATTTTTAAATGTGTTGGACTTGAAAAATGCTTCAGAGTTCAATGAGGTTGCTGCTGTTCTTATGTGACGCTCGATTGAATTTTAGAACGAAGGGTTATTTTGTAGCTTTTTTAAGTTCACTGGAAAGTGTCTAAAGCTAGAAAAAAAAAACATTTAGGACAATAAAAGGGTAAATTAAATATCTGCAGACCTCAGTCTCTGTGCAGTAAAACGTTCTTGTCTTTGAGTCTTCATTTGTCCCTTTGAGTGGAGCTCAGTGAAACAATCATGTCTACCAAATGGACTGGGTTGGGATTGCTCTATAAAAAAGCAATTCAAGTGCCAAAAAGAACCAACGTAATAAATTGCAATTGAATTAAATCCCACTTTGTTTTTTGAGCAGAGTGAGAGAACATTTGAATATGTTCCCATTATAAAGTCATAAAATGTTTAAAAGATTGAAGTGGTCACACTGTTCATGTGCCTCCTCCTTCCCTTTGTCTGGGTCATTTATTCATTCTTCCACTTTCCTGCGTATTCCTCTGTCCTCTCGCTGTAATTACTGAGGGTAACAGTGACCCACTGTCTGTCCTTTTTCTACCCTTCTGCTCGAAAGGGTGAGAAAGAGTTTGCA